CTCCTCCTTTCATTGATTTTCTTAAATATCATGATTATATTTTCAACAGGTGTTCTTAGTCTGAAGTAACTCCTCTGGTGAAACTCCTGGCCTGTTGCACACAGACCTCATCTTGCCTGCATAGAAGTGAGCATTGAAGAATGGATATTCCAGCTATTAGGATCACAACACTGCCATCAATAACTGCAGCTTGAAATCTGTCACTGAAATGGTTCCCAGGTGGCTGTTTTATATCCAGGTGTTTGGCTATGATATGCCAGATGTCAGGAACTAACCCTGATACTTTTAATTTCAGGATAAATGGCAGCAGGCAAGGGAGGTTAGCTCACACCCTGGAGAGCTTCAGGTGCCCAAATAAGGAATTTGGACTTTATTGTGCAGTTTGTAGAAGTCGTTGGCTTTAATCCAAGAAGTGATTAAAGGTACAGAGAGGTACTTTGAGTGTATCTGTCAGAGGGCTGGTGTGATAGATTGGGCTGGGGTGAGGCTGACATCAAGATGACCAGTATAGAAGTTACTGAAGTAATTCAGGGGTCAGGACCTCAGCTAGGGTAGTGGCAATGAAAGCTGATGGGAAATGATAAATGCAAGAAATAAGGAGAATGAAAATGAACAATACTTGGCCTTCACAACTGTCACGTCCTTTTAGTAAATACTGTCTTCAACAACAGCAAAGATTGATGAGAGCTAGCCATCTCCTCCCGTGGTACTAGGTAGTGTCCTACAGTGAAAGCAAGGCTCAGACATAGTGCTACTACACAAATAAATGTTTACCAACAAGCAGGCACAAAAACACAGTACACAATGTTTTGTGACCAACTACTAAACAGCAGTCCAGACTCTAGGAAGCTACTCTGATGGGTGTCAGTCTGCTAGACTCAGAGTCTTAGATGACATTTATGCAGAAGTGGCTGTCCAATATTCTAGCCAGCCACATATCTCGGCCACTGGTTAGTTTCACAATGAAAGATTAATCTCTTATGCTAATTAACACACCCTAGTGCAGATCTACACAGTGATATTGGAAGCACTTGTGCCTCCAACTTTGTAGTGAAGATTCCTGATTAGTGTCTTTCAAATGCTAATTACCTACCCTGGAGTGTGGGATAAAAATTAATTCTCAAACACATACACACACACACACACACACACCTGACTGAAGTATTCTGAAGTATACCGACAAGATAATAAGCATCAAAAAATGGTTTCAAGGTCACAAGGAAGAAGATCATGAAAAGTGCTGTTTTAATGGGGGTCTTGAGTGCTAAGAAACAGAAAACAGCCCTGGCTGAGTTAAACAGGAAAGAAATTTACTAGAGGATACTGGGTAGCTGAGTATTACTGGAGCTCTAGGTTTGGGCTGCATGGCCAGAAACTACAACCAATAACAAAAGATCGCAGAACCGGTGGGAGAAGGCTCTGGGGTTGCCATTACATGGTACAGCCATCTTAAATTACTGACACTGCTAATATTCGATGCTGGATGCAACCACTAGAACCACTCTCACTACAGCCCCAGGAGCTTGCCTTGCTACACTCCTGCTCTTACCCAGGGAGGGTTGCTTTCTGTGCCTGCTATTTTGAGTCAATAGCTTACCACTGGTGCACATGATTGGTTGAGCAAGTATTTGGCATTTTAGTTTCAGCCACTAGACTCCTAAGGTGGGGGGAGAACTCTCCAAACACAGAAGAAGTCTTCAGGTGATGGGAATGCAAATAAATAAATAAATAAATAAATAAATAAATAAATAAATAAATAAATAAATAAATAAATAAATAAATAAATAGTCTACCAAGGCAAGTTGAATTAGAAGCTATGACAATATATTCAGGTAAAAACATTTAGCAGGTGGTGGGAAAATGTGACACTGTGTTTCCTAGAGAGTCAGAGTTACAGATTCGGGAGTTGGGCACTGATTGAATTCAGAGTTAGACAGACGTCTGGAAGGAAATGAAATTCTTCATTTACACCCGAGGAATTCAAGTCTGAGAGTGCTTCATCACTATAGATGTGTAGCCCACCCCGACCCCCAACATCTATGAAGCAAAAATGAAGAAGTCATACTATATAAGGGACATAGGACAAGAATATAGATAACTGTCACAGAAAATAAGTGGGAGGAGAGAACCAGTGATTGTTGAGGACCTATTGTGTTCTATTACTTTATTTAACAAATATTTAAGTGCCAAGTATATATCAGGCATTATGCTAGGCCGATTTAATGATGAGCCAAACTGGACATGTCCCTGCACTTGAGGAAATGGAAGCAGGCTTAAGTGCAGAGTTGGGGAGTGTGGCGGGAGGCTAAGTTGAAGGTTAAAGGGGACCAGCCTACACAACAGCTTGTGCCTGTTTATGGATTTTGAGCATTATCCTAGAGGAAATAAACCATTTAAAGGTTTTACGGTAATTTTTACATACATCATCTCATTTAATCCCTACAACATCCCTGTAAGGTGGGTATTATTAGCATCTATTTACATATGAGGAAACTGAGGTTCACAGAGATCGATGTCCGTAAGTACTTTGAACAGTAGAAAAATGATGGGAGGGATGGAAGGCCGGCAGGAAGGGCTTCTTGGAGAGGGAGGGGGAATTGATACTTTTTGAGAGCCTATCTTATGATGGCAGGAAAAAAAAATACTGTTTCACTGAATAGTCACAACAACTTTGCGACGAAGCTTTCCTTCTATGTTTTAGATGGAGAAACCGAACTCGCACATAGGAAGTGGAGGAACCAAGATTCAAATCCCAAGGCCATCAGCTCCTCAGCTGTTCTGCAACACCGCCTCCAAGTAATATCCCCTTGTGTTTATTCAGTGCATTCAGATACAAATAAGAATCAGCTCTGGAATTTGAAGGACCCTCAGGTTGCGAGGCCGGCGAATGTGTAAGAGACAGGGGGAGAAGTGGAATGGAACAGGCCGCGGCTGGGGGAGCGTCGCGTTGCCAGTGGAATAAAGATCGGCGGTGTATTAAAGGGAGTCTTAATTAGAAAAGGAGGCAAGAAGGGCTTTGAAGAGCCTAAGGAGCTCGGGCCTTAGCTGGTCAGTGGACACAAAGCCATATATTATGCTACAGACATTAAGAGAGCAGCAACGCCTCCTGCAGTATTTACAGTCCACGTGTGGTCCGCCCGCCCGTCCTGCCCCAGTTTCGGTCCAGCCCGAGGCGGTGGCGGCCTAGATGCTTGACGGACACAATCAGCCTGGTCTTCTCGCTCCCTGTTCGCTTGCCGATTCCAGGTCCCGGTAGGCGAGGGCGGCCGAGCTCAGCCCCGCGGCTGCGGCTGTTTGCGCTGGCGC